TCTTCATCGTCATCATCATCCTCTAGGCGATCGCGTCGGCCCCGCCCGCTGGCGCACGCTTGTCTCCACAGCGGTGGTGCGCAGAACGGGGTCCTGAAGAGGACGCGCGCCATCGCTCCCCAGCATGCTGCGACACTGCCGTGGAGCACCATCGACAGCAACAGCAACATCTTTCAGCGGCGAAGCCGGGTCAGGCAGAGTCGAAGGGCTGTGGCATACACGCAGCGACGCAGCAAACCATATCATCACTACTCATCGTTATTCTGGTCCCTTTGGGGCAACAGGAACGGTGGAGGACAGGCCTCGCGGCCATTCGCGCTCCTTTCTACGTCTTCCACGGGCGCACCGCTGGCGGGCGCGGACGGACGGGCCATCGAATGTTTACGCGATCCGGAATCCAGGCAATTCGTCGGGGAGCAATGGCGCCTGGCATTCTGCTCACCGCCGCCAGCCCGTGGCCCACGGCTCAGAAGACTGCGGGCTGCGCCCAAACCTGTTCTACAAAGCGCGTTCGTGGTTCCAGTCTCCGTCTACTTCCCTCTGTTCTCCGACATTATTCAGGCGTGGTTACTGGAAATTGAGCGTGGGAAACCACCTCGCAAGCACTGTGGTCGGCCACTTCTGCGCGCGCGTTGCCATCGCAAGTTTCCGGCGCTACTGTCACGTTGGGCACTGCGGCGCAGTCGGGCTCATCCTCGGCGTCGCGGCGCTCTCAATCGGGGTGGCCTGCTTCGCGAGGACGTTCGCGGAGGTCTTCGGCGCGCCGATGTTCGCGGAGGCATTCCTCGCGCGGGCGCTGGCGGTACTCTTCCTCGCGCGGGCGCTCGTGAAGATGTTCTTCGCGCGGGCATTTGTCGATGCTTCTTCGCGGGGATGACTCATGAAGCTGAACCCCTCCACGCTGGGATGAATGGGGCGCGCCTCGGCACAGCGAAGTTCAGCGAACGCGTCACGGAGGTGGCAAATTTTGACGCGCAGGCGCACTCCATCGAGACGACCGACACCACTACTACGCCCGCCGACGAGGAGGAGGATCCACTCTTGGGCGGAGCCAAAAAGGGCATGTTCGCACAGCGATGGCGGGAAAACCCACGTGCGACGACGCAGAACCAGATCGCTGGGCCCCAGGCAACCGCGAAGAACTTGGCGGCCCAAGTTCGGGGGCCACGACAGCCGATAGCCAGTGCACCAGGTTCGTCAGCTCCGCGCGTGCAGAAGCAGCGGGGACAGAGACAGGAACCACGTCTCCTCGTCCGCCTCGAGCTCCCGATAGCACGGGCCGGTGCGAGGGCGGAGCCGCCCACGCAAGGAGCTCGCTGCGACTCTCACATACCTCCTGGGAGACAGCGCGAAGTCGTCGGCAGCGGGCACAGGAAAGACATCCCCAGAGCACCCTCGGCCCAGACAAATCAAGTCGCCGCCGCGCCCACGGGGCGGGGCCCCCATCTGGCAAGCAGCTCACGTCAAAGACACAGAGCATGACCAGAGGAAGCCGCTGATCATTTCTTGTCCCCCGAGGAAGAGCACGAGTCCGTGGCCAAGTGGTTCACGGCAAGGGGCCGCGAGCAGCCCTCAGCGACATACCCCCCTTGCGCGAGAAGGAGATCACCGATGGATGGGAGGAGGAGGAGGAGGAGGAGGAGGAGGAGGAGGAGGTCATACCCGCGGGGCCAAGAGCCTCTTGGGCCTAAAGCCATCTTCGAGGGTCCCCCGGGCGTCTCGGCGCCAAGGCGGTCAGCGAAGCCTCGGGCGTTCCACGCCGGGGGCCCAGACTGCCCTCGCAGGTCATGATGCCCCAGCTGTGGACGACCACGCGGATGCATCCTTGCGCGCCGGCACACGGGATCATTTCAGCTTCTCGCGCGGATCGAAGCCCGACCTGCGCAACCAGACACCCGAGAGCGTCCACGAGCAAGCGCGCGCCAACTGGACGCGTGCAGGGCGACGTCATCTGGGGAGGCCGGCGCCGTCACGCGCACACCTGCTGATGATCCTGCCGAGTCAAGACAGTATACCACGCAGATTCAGACGCACCACACCTGCAGCACATGCGGCCGCAGTCTGGCATCATCGAACTTCAAGAAGATGCCTCGCCGCATGCGCCTGCCCAGGGCCACCGCCAAGGCCGCTTTCTTCGCGCGATGGCGGCGCCCCGCCCTGACCCGCTGTCTGGGGCGCCGCCGCCGCCGTCGCCTGAGCGCTTCGTCGGGCCCCACCGACCTTCTGACCAGGGTTCGCTGAATGTCCTCTTCTGCGGCCAATTTCTGGCGCTTGCGCGCTCGCCCCCGCAGTTTCAAGAGCTGGCCCCTTCTCACTGCGCGTCGCGGCTGTCTGCAGGTCGCCCGCGGAGTCCGAGATATCGAAGAACGGGCGCAGACAGTCGCGCTACGCCCCGCCCAGCACGGGCAGTTTTTAAGCGGGTGGAGGAACGGCAGCGGCCTGCGCACTGGCCCCAGGAAAGACGAGAGCCCCGCAGCAGAAGCGGAAGTGCAATTCCCCGGGCATGTACGCGGCGATCGTCTCCTCCGAGGACGCGGGCCCGTGCTCGGCGAGTTTCTCGTCGCCGGAGCCGATCGCGCCCGCGACCGCGCCGAGCTCCGTCTCCGACGGACCGCCCAGCTCGATGCGTTCCCCATTCGCGGCGTTGATGACGGACGCCGGCTGGGCCGTCCTCAGGACCGTCCGCGTGTCTTCCGGCCCTGGGGCCCCGTGGCCGAAGTAGACCGTCTCCGCCAGGTCCTCCAGGCTGCACTCGTGGGACTGCTCGATTTGCTTAATCTCCTCGTCGCTGGACATTTCCACGCCGCCCGTCGCGATGATGGAGCGCGACGAGAAGATGATGACGCGGCGCCGCCACGCGTCGGCGCCTATTCCGCCCTTTTGTGGCCGCACCTCTTGCTCGCGCACTTCCTGCGGCCTCTGGCGGCGGTGCCCCTTGGCTCGTTCAGCTGCGACGGCACTGCGCAACGCGCCCACTCCTCCGATCCGAATTGGGGGGGTGCGTCTTGCAGTGCGGGCACACATAAATGGTGCTGTTATCCCGGCGCCGCAAATCTTCCTCAATTGGACGGTCGACACCACGGGACCATGCCTGTGCTTCGCGAGCCCCGCTTCAACGGCGAGCTCGATGGACTTGGCCAGATGCGATGGCGACTCCTTCTTGTGGAATTTGAAACGCATGCAGCGGCACAGGCGGGAGGGGTCCAGGGTTATGTGAAAGAGCGTCATCAGGAACTCGCCGCCCATGGCCTTGACAACGCACTCGTGTTCGACAATAGAGCTGACGCTCTGGACGCACGGCGTGTAACCATCCTCGTAAGCCATGACGAAGAACGAGACGAAGCCGCGCTCTTCTTCGCAATAATGACAATTAACCGGGGTGGCCGCGACAACGTGGCGGCCCACGAACCTGGCCGTGCCGTCGGCCTCCCTGACCAGGGCGTCAACTTCATCTCCACCGTGATCTCTGTGGTCACGTGCCCTCCAAGGATTTCCTGTTGATCATTTTCGCCCGTCCCTGATCTCGGCGAGAGTGGGGACCCTGCCTGGCGGCCTGGTTCTCGTCACGGACCGTCGCATTTAGCTCTGCGAAACGCTCCCGACCTTCCTCCGCGGTCCTCCGCCTCGGCCCCCTCTGCCTTCCTCTTGCGCGCTGGCATGGCAGGCGCCAAGGAGGATGAACTCCTCGTGACCGCCGAAGAGCGCCATCGAGGGCTCAGGCCCAAGTCAGCTGCGGCGCCAAACCGTTCTACAGAAAGGGCCGAGTGCCTGAGCCCAAATGGCCGCAGACGTTGGGTAAGGACAAGGATACGTACTCGTGTTGGCACACGGGGACATCTCCTAGGCCCAGGGGGCATGATATCTACGGGGTACTGGACGTGAAACATTCTGCTATGAAACTACGAAGATGGAGTTCCCCATCATGATCATCTCCACCGTCACCGCCGCCATCGTCACCATTATCATCACAACCATCATCACCACCAGCTCGAGTGTCACTGCGGGATCTCGCCCATTCCCATACCTCCCCTCAGTACATTGGGCAGCTCGAGCGTCAGCGGGCGCACATCCACTCACCCCCACCCCCCATGACAATGATAAGCTCGACCGTCACCGCAGGCACCCGCGTGGCCTCTCAAGCACAACAGGGAAATCCCTTCGGCATGCGGAAGTACACTACAGCCTCGGGAATTCTTCTCATTACGCCACACCTGGGCCCCGGCAGCCATGGGGGGGCGAATGCACGAGGGAGAGAAGGACGACAACGACGACGACGACGACGACGACGACGACGACGACGACGACGACGACGACGACGACGACGACGGTTTGGTAACTCTTGGATCTTCGCCAGGCCGCGTCCAGGAGCAGACGCCGGTGCGCTCATTGAGCAAACCCGAAGAAGCTAGGCCTGAGCCTCTGTAGAGCTCCGCTCTCGCTGGGCAGGCCAGCGCGCCGCAATGTGCGGGCTGAAATCGAAACGGATCCGGGCAAAAGGAAGACGCCCCCCCAAACCCTATCCCCTCCCTCCCTCACCCGTCACCCACCCTCCCCCACCCCCAGCCCATCGCTCCCTCCCATTCTCCCCGTTTCTTGCCTGTGGGGAAAATTGACCGACAGGGCGAGGAGTAGGAAAAAGAGGAAAAGCGGAGAGTGAGGGGGAGGAGAGAAAGAAGTTCTCTCTCCCTCCCCCGTCCACCCCGAAACATTTCCATTCGTCATCCAAGCACCCATCGCCCACATCTCCCTGCCACCCCATCATTCCACCTCCCATATCCCCCTCCCCATTCCCCTCCCCTCTAACCTGTCCCCTCTCCCCTCTCACTCTCCCTTCCTCCTCCTCCTCCTCCTCCTCCTCCTTCTGCTCCTCCTCCTCCTCCTCCTCCTCCTCCACCTGCACCTCCTCCTCCTCCTCCTCCTCCTCCTCCTCCTCCTCCTCCTCCTCCTCCTCCCCCTCCCCGCTGGCTCAGTCGCCGACGCACTTGCGGCAGACCCCCCATCCCGCGCCATCCCTCCCGGGCCCCATGAGAAACTACTGCGTTGGACATTGGCAAGTCGGTCGCCAAACGGCGCCGAAAGGGAGAGGGAAACCGACTAGAAGTAGTGTCATACTCTTGCCGCGAACTTGCAGGGAGGCGGAACTTACAGGGGGAACAAAAACACCTGTTGCCACCGCTGGCGGCCAGGCTCACGAGGAGCGCCCGAGGACAGAGCTGAGGAAGCACCTGGGCAGCCCGAGCCCCTTCCGAAACCCAAGTGGCTTTCATTCCACAAGTTTCGGAGGCAACTACTGGGAGGTCTTCGTCGGAAGGATGATGGAGGATTAAGCCCCAGTGGGCGGCTGCTACGTCGGATTAGGCCGCGGATTGAGCGGGATGAAGCCGGATTACACGTGATTGAGCCGGATGAAGCGAGCCCAAGCCAGATGAAGCCGATTTCTGACCAGGGCAAAGTCTGCATGTGACCTCCCAGGGGTGGCATCCGAAACGAGTGCTCTGGCTGCCCCAGGCCACCACGGGCCCAACCTGGACCCACACCTTGGTGGGAGGAGGAGGAGGAGGAGGAGGAGGAGGAGGAGGAGGAGAGGAGGAGGAGGAGGAGGAGGAGGAGGAGGAGGAGGAGGAGGAGGAGGAGGAGGAGGAGGAGGAGGAGGAGGAGGAGGAGGAGGAGGAGAGAAGTTGGAGGAGGAGGAGGAGGGGGAGGAGAAGGAGGAGGCATCGGCCTCCAGGCTGGGCCCGTGGAGGCTGGGCGGTGCGTCGGTGTCCCCCTCCCCTGATTCTCGCGAGGCTGAGTCGAGCGCTGCCAGCCGCGCTCGCCGCCAGGGCGGGCGCGCCGACGGCGCGCAGGATCGCGGCAGGGACCATGGAGGTCAGCTCGGGTCCGGGCTGCCGTCTCGCTTGGAGCAGGGAGCGAGGGCCGGAGGGCTGGAGGTCGCACGTTGCCGATAGGGATGTCGACCGAGAAGAACGGCGGAACCAACCAAAGCATGTACATCTACATGTCTATATATACATACATACATACATACATACATACATACATACATACATACATACATACATACATACATACATACATACATACATACATACATACATACATACATACATACATACATACATACATACATACATACATACATACATACATACATACATACACATACATACATACATACATACATACACATACATACATACATACATACATACATACATACATACATTCATACATACATACATACATACGTACGTACGTACGTACGTACGTACGTACGTACATACATACATACATACATACATACATACATACATACATACATACATACATACATACATACATACATATATATATACATACATACACAGATGCTGGTATAGACATAGATATACTAGAATCAAATGCGCGCGCTTTGCGCGCTTAGGTTCTAACGTAGTCCAAATCAACGTACCGGACTGGATGAGAATGGACATCATCCCGCAAGGATCACCATCTGGAAGCGTACTCCATAAATAATGGACGGTTCAGGAGTCGCTGAATAAGCAGGCCCTAAGATACTGCTGCTCTAAGCCTATACACCGAGCAGCTGCCCGAAGGTAACCCTTAGAAAACTTCGATGTGGATCGTCTGGGCGTCTGGAGGGTCCCTCGGACTATCTCGGAGGTGTTTGGGAGGTCCCTTTGAGACCCTCGGGGCCAATGATACGGGGCAGCTCATACCATCTAAGGGCTGCCAAGGTCTGTCGAAACCATATCGGGGCGCCACGTCCAGCACGACTTCGCGCAATAGGTATGCGTGCAGGGCGATTCCCCCAAGCTGTTTCCGGAGAGCGCCCAGGAAGGCTCCAGGGAGGCGCGCAAGGCAGCCACGCGGAGGACCCGGGGCAGCCTGTGGGGGGACGCCCGAGAGCTCCGAGCAGCCTGGGAGAAGCATGCTGAGAGACTCTTTGGATGCCTTCGGGGGGCGTTTTGAAGGCTCTCTGGGGTTTCTGGGGCTGGGATCGCTTTCAGTTTTTGGTGGGGTTCTCCTGGTCTCTTGGGACTTCTTGGGCGCGCCTCGGGGGCCTCCCTGGGCTCTTGGCGTCTGGGTTCGAAATGTCACATGGAGTCGGCCTTGAAAAGAGAGGGTTTCGAGGAATTTCATTAATTCATGTATCCAAACCAAAATGGGCCTCCTACTTCTCAGTAGGACAGGATGCTAGGTGTGGGCGGCGAAGGGAGGAAGGAGTGAAAGGGAGATGGAGATGAGGGAGAGGGGAGACAAAAACGCATGAGGGATCCGGAGAGAGGAAGACATAAAGGAGAGACGAAGAAGATGGAGGAGGGAGAAGGACGCAGCAGGGAGGAGGGAGGAGAGGAAGGAGAAAGATGTGGAACGGGAGACACAAGAGCACCAAAAGCTGGAGAGAGAGAGAGAGAGGGAGCAGAAAGAACGGACAGCGAGGGACGGGGGAGACGGAAACGCACTGTGGGACAGCAAATGCCTGGGACAGCAGGGAACGGAGGGGGACGGGCGACCTAGAAAAAAAGTTTTAGGGAATACCTTTGCTTTTTTCAAGTTGGCGCTGGAAGCCCTCAAGAGCACCGAAGATTATCCCAAGAGGCCTCGAAAGGTCCTCCAACAGCTCCAGGGAAGCCTTCGAGGGGCCAACAGCATTGCAAACATTCCAAACAATGCGATTGTTGTGTTTTCGCATTTCCGCCTCCGACACGCTTCCGAGGCCTGCGCATGCTCCCGAAGAGAGCTCCAAAATGCCCCCAAGAGGCGTTCCGAACGGCTCTTTGAGGGCCGTTCGGGGCGTCTTCGGCGCTGGGTTCCTCTGGGGGCGGATCTTGGGAGTTCGCTGGGCTTTGTTCGGGGCGTTTTTGGAGCCTCGGTGGTGCCTCTTCGGGCGTCATGAGGACTTTGTGGTCTCTGGGGCCACTTCGCGCCGCTCGGGACGCCTGTTGGGGGCCTCTTGGGACTCCGTTCGGGGGGGGGGGGGGGGGGGGCACAAGGCCCGGAAGCGCGTCGGAGGCGGAACTGCGAGAACAGACAAACATTTACTCGCCATTAGTTTGTTCAACAACTTTGGCATGTCCAAAATTTCCCCAAAAACCTTAGGGGACTCTTGGAAGCCTCTTGAGGTGATCTTGAATGTTTTTCGGAGATTCCGAAACCGTCGCGGGACTGGCTTGGACAGCCTTGGAGCACTCTCCGGCTGACTCGGGGGCGTCCTGGGTCGTCATCAAACTCCCAAGGACCTCTGTTGGTCACCCAGGAAGGTGGTACCGGGGATGTGCCCGAAATGGTAGCGGAGCCCACGGAGCCCAGCCCGGGGGGGCGCCCTGGCTGTGAATGTTCTGATGACTGCGTGTATATATGTATATGTATATATAAATGTCGATGGTGTATACAAGTATATATATGTATGGTTATGTACAAATATATTGACAAGTATATTTCTGTGCACGTATATGCACACTTAAATAATATATAAATATACATACATACATACATACATACATACATACATACATACATACATACATACATACATACATACATACGCACATACATACATACAAACATACATACATCATACATACACATATATACGTATGTAGATAGATCCGTGTGTATGTATATGTGTACGCAATAAACATGTAATTGTGTTTGTGCGTGTGTGCATGCATATAAATATAAACACATACCTGTACATATACACATGTTGGTCTCCCAACCTGGCAAAATCGATGGCGACTTTCCTCGAAGTGAATTGACGATGTTGGTCGCGATGTTGTTTTACGGGGCCCCTCACATCCACGCACACATCCATATCCCTCCTTCTCCTCGACCGGCAACTCCAGAAGGTACTGTACATGATTGGCATCACTTTGCGTTGCGCGGAAAAAGCACGGCACATCATCGACCACAATGTTGAATACTGCTCATACACGGCATGCTCTGCTTAGCCCTGCTAAGCCATGCGACGCCGTAACCCTTGTTGAGATTTGCTGAGCCCTGCTGAGCCCTGGTAAGACTTGGCAAGCCTTGCTAAGCCGTGGCGAGCCCTGCTTGGCTCTGGTACACCCTGCTAAACCGACTAAGCCTTGCTACGCACAGCTAGGCCCCGGCGAACCCTGCAAAGCTCTGCAAAGCTCTGCAAAACTCTGCAAAGCTCTGTAAAGCCATGCTAAGTCCTGTTACGCCACGCTGAGTCCTGGTAAGTTTTGCCATGGCCTGGTACACACTGTCAAGCCCTGCTACGCTTGCAAACCCTTGCTGGGCGATGCTCGGCCTCGGCAAGCCTTCGCAGGGAATCCCCAGTCGGGAACACTTCACAAAGACCTCTTCGTAGGGAGGAGGGGGAGGCGAGGAAGGGAGAGGTGGCTTTGCTTATCCGTGCGAAGCCTTATGTCCTGCTGGGATCTGCTGAGCCCTGCTAAGACCCGGTAAGCCTTGCTAACTGGGCCTTGGCAAGCCCTGCTGCGGCCTTGCAAGCCTTGCTGAGCCCTACTGGGCCTGTTAAGCACTGCTGATCCCTGGCAAACTCTGCTATGCCTTGCGATGTCCTCGTACGCAATGCTGAGCCCTGAGACGCTCAGGAAAGCTTTGCTATGCCCTGATAATTCGCCGGCCCAACGGGCCAGAGGCGTGCTAAGATCTCCGGTAACTTGTTAACAATACTTCTAGTTCGCGCGCGCGGAGCGGCCCCTGGGGGCCCCCGGACGAAAAGTACCCCTGCAAGGTCCCGAGAGAAGCCCGGGAGAAGCCACCAGACCACTCCAGGGGAGGGTATTTTTCGACACCCCTCACGAGGATCGTGGCCTCCGAGGGGGGAGCCGCAATCGACTACCCCCAAGAGCCCCCCAAGAGGCCCTGGGGGCCTCCAAAACGCCGCCAAGGAGCCCCAAGAGACTCCCAAGAGGTCCCCAAGAGGCCCCCAAGAGGCCCTAAAGAGGGCTCCAGGGCCGGCGGCATGAGCGAAGCGATTAAATACATGCTAAGTCTTGCTAAAATGAGCAGGCCTTGCTAAGCGCATCAATAGCTAGTATGCCTTGCTAAGCCTTGCTTTGCCTTGCCCAGCCTTGGCAAGCTCTGCTAAGCCCTGCTAATCCTTGAGAAGTCCCAAGCCCTGCTGAGCTTTTGCTGAGCCCTGCTAAGCCCTGCCAAGACCTATGATAAGCCTCGCGAAGCCTTGGTGAGCCCTGCAAAGTCCTTGTAAACCTTGCTTCGCCCGACTGAGCCTGCTGAGCACTCATAAGCCCTTGCATGGCATGCTGAGCCCTGCTATGTCCTGGTACCCTCAGCCGAGCCCTGATAAGCTCTGGAAGGCTCTGTTATGCCATGCGAGTCTCTGCTAAGTGCTGCCACGTTTGGCAGGCCTTGCTAAGCCCAACTGACTTCAGTAACCCTTGCTAAGCTGTTCTGGGCCTTGATCAGTCTGGGCAAGATTTGCTGAGCCCGGCTAATCCATGCGAGGACGCAAGCCCAGCTGAGCCTTGGCTGGGCTCTGCTAAATCCTGCTAAGAGGTGGTGAGCCCTGCCAAGCTTTGGTGAGCCCTGCGAAGGACTTGTAAACCTTGCTAAGCCCGACTGAACGTTGCAAGTCCAGGCAAGCCCTGCAAAGCTCTGCATAACTCGGCTAAGTCCTGGTACGCCTTGCTGAGCACTGCGAAGCTCTGGGAAGGTTTGCCAAGCCCTAAGCCCAATGAAACTTGGTAACCGATGCTCTGCTGAGCTTGGTAAGCCTTGCCAAAATAAGATAAGCTTGGTAAGCCGTGCTAAGCCTTGCTGAGCCCAGATAAATGTTGCTCCACCTAGCTAAACCCTGGTAGGGATTAGTCCTCGCCACCCCTGGAAGGGGGGGGGGGGGGGGGCGATCTGCGAAACTGTCGCGGTGAAAGCTGCTGGGGGGGCCAGCGTAGTGGGGCCGCGCTCGGGCCCAGATTGAACCTCGCCGCACCTGGGGGAGTGCGGCCTGCAAAACTGGCGCAACGTTCGAAGGCTGGTGGGGAGGCCAGCACTGTGGGGCCACACGAGGATTTAGATTAGACCTCACCACCCCTGGGGGGCTGTGATCTGCGAAACACTCGCCACATTCGAGGGCCCTCTTGGCGCTCTCTTGGGGCCGCTTGGGGGCCTGCTGGCGGTTTCGGGAGTCCTCCTGGGGCAGAAACCTCGGAACCTGACAAGGACTTCCCCATCTTGGACTGTTGTTGGGGCCCTCTTGGGGCCTTCTGGGGCTGTCCTGAGCGCATCTGGGCCCGTCTGCGGGCGCTCTTGGCTCGCCTTGGGATCGTCTTGGGGCCTCTTGGGCCGTCCTGGACACGGTGAAGCGCGAAAAGTCTGACATGCTGAAGACGCGCGTTTTCCGAAAGGAATGCAACGATGTCTGCCCTTCGGGACCCTCTTCTGGGACCTGTTGCGGCCCTGGAAGCCTTCGGGGGCCGTCCAAAAACTGTGATCGGCGGTCTCGGGCTGTGTTGGTCCGGCCCGGTAGATTTTTCAAACAATTTCAGAATAATCGGGGCGCCCATGGGGCCACTTTGGCGGCCACATGGGCCCCTGGGCCCCTAGAACAGCCACGCCAATCCGTGGCCGTGGTCCCGGGCCCGCCCGCGGCCTACTCCGATATGTATGCATGCATGTATGCGTGCGTGGATACAGACATACAAACATGCATGATGCATGCATGCATACATACACACCTACAGACACACCCAAATCCATGTATATAGAGGATCATAAGCACATATGTTTGCAGATGCCTCCTAACATGCACACATTCTTACAATTTTGCCTACACATTTTCAGAAACATAGACACACATATATACAAATGTATACACATATAAACTGTACACATACATTTACGTGTCCATATGTGTTTACGTATATATATATATATATATGTACACGTATGTGCTTCTATAGATACATATACAATAACATATGTGAAAACATAGACAAAGACAAACATTTATGCATTGGTATATGCAACTACATATATACAGATATACATATACATGTACATATGCATATGCATTCGATTGTACAAATACTGATACATATACACCTTCAGTTATACATGTACGTATATGTATGTATGCATGTGTACATACATGTAAATATGCTCATACATATACATTTACATACACATGTACGCAAATATGTCCATGTACCTTTACATGTGCCTAGACATGTCACCATACATATACCTATACATATGTATACATATATGTATATATACATATATGCTACATCCACATACCTGCGCATAGACGTGCAGATATAAGAATTCAGGTACATATGTACGTACACGTACACATACGCATACATATGCAAACAAATATAAATGTTGTACATATACATGGTTGTATACATGCATAAATGGAAATATATAATTATGCACATACGTAGACGTAGATACATATACGTGAACACATACAGGTGTCTAAACAGATGTGTATATACATGTGCACATACCTACACACCGATCTATACATACGCACATGGCTACACCTGTACATATACCTATGCACATGCATTTGCATATGCACGTACCTAAACATGTACATCTACATAGACATGTCCGTACAAGTTTACATATACGTATACATGTACATACGACTGCACAAATACATATACGTATGTAAATACAGATACGAGTACCTTGACATGTACATATACGTATATCAAGACCCATACAAACACGCATGCATACACACATACATGCGAAAGTATGTTTGCAAGTATACGTATGCATAAACATGTGCATGAGCACGCAGCGTTACATACGCATACAGCCATGTACGCATATACATGTACATATTCATATGCGAATGCAGGTATACTAGATTTATGCATATAAATTCGTACATCCATATATCGATATGCATACCCAGACATATACATCAACATGTTCATATATGTATGACTGTACATATACATATACATGTACAAGTACATACACATAAACATATACACACCCATACATGTATACGCATGAATACTCATATGTGCATGTACATATACACATGCAATACATGCCTCTATCGATCTATATAATTTGTATATATATATATATATATGCATGACAACTTCTCGTGTGTTTTGTCACTTTCTACTGGTCCCCAACTTCCCCCAGCACCAAGGGCAACCCCGACAACAACTCCGTCAATGTCACCTTCAAGCACGGCGCACTTGCGCTCGGGTCGTCTCGAGTCAGGGCATCTCGGAGCCAGGGACTCCGAGGATGTCTCAGACGAAACGCGCCTGAGCACCTCGCGGACCACGTCTCGGAACCCAGAGTTGCGAGAACGTATCAAGCGAAACAGGCCAGAGCAACTCAAGACAGGGCATCTCGCAAAAGCTCAGGGTTCAGAGGTTGTCTCGGGCGAAACGGGCCTCAGTACCTCGCGAACCACATCTTGGAACCCAGAGCTGCGAGGATGTCTCCGGCGAAACGGGCCAAAGCAGCTCGCGAGCAGCATCTTGACCGCAGAGGTGTGAGTTGCGAGGATGTCTCAAGCCATGCGGGCCAGAGAACCTCAAGTCAAGGCACCCTGAAGCCAAAGGGTCCGAGGACGTCTCAGGCGAAACGGGCCTGAGCACCTCGCGAACCGCATCTTCAATCCAGAAATAATGCGAGGACTGTCGGGCCAAACGGATGTCTCAGGCGAAACGTGCCTGAGTAACTCGCTAACCACATCTTGGAACACAGAGTGGTGAGGACGTCTCAAGCGAAACGGGCCAGAGGACCTCAATGCAGGGAATCTCGAAGCCTAGGGTTTCGAGGATGTCTCAGGCGAACAACGTAATGAAAATGTCTCAGGTGAAACGGGACTGAGCATCTCACGTCAAGGCATCTCGGAACCTGGGGTCCCAACTAAGTCTCAAGCCAAGCGGGCCTGAGCACCTCGTGAACCGCATCTTCAACCCAGCGTTGCGAGGACGTCTCAGGCAGCCAGGAATTCCGAGAATGTCTCAAGCGAAACGTGCCTGAGTACCTCGCGAACCACATCTTAGAACAGAGTGGTGAGGACGTCTCAAGTGAAACTGACAAAGCACCTCAATCCAGGGCATCTCGAAGCCTGGCGTTCCGAGAATGTCTCAGGCAAAACGGGCCTGAGTAATTATTTCGAGAACCACATCGTGTAATCTAAAGTTGTGAGGACGCCTTGAGCCAAACGAGCCAAAGCACATCAATTCAGGGCATCTCGCAGCCCGAAGTCCGAAGATGGCTCTCTGTGGGCCATGGGGCGGACCCGGCTCTTTTGAGGGCAACTCCTCCCTGGCACCTCCCCGGCACCGCCGCTGGGGTTGCCGGGGTCGCCAGGACCTGGCCCGGGCGACCTGGGCACCCGGGCTCGGGTGCACTGCCCCCCCCCCCCCCTGCCAGCCAAGGCGAGCCCTGGATGGGGCCCAAAACAGCCCAAAAGCCAACACAAGTGACCAGCGAGGACCATACGGCTCCGAAACGCACCTCCACCCCGGAAAACAAACGGACCGATCGAGGCATCACCACCATCTGGGCGCGAACGGGCCTGTGACATACACACACACACACACACTCTTCGTCAGCAGAGCACTGCCCCGCATCACCAGGCACGATCGAGCATCGAAGACAAGAGCACTTGTCTGACAGCACTACTAGAATTCTTTCTCCCCCTCGTCCTCAGTCATCCTGCTACTCCTTCTCCTCCCCCTCCTCCTTCGCTTCGCATTCCTCAACGGTTGCTCGGAATTGTGGAGACGTCTCATGCGAAATTGGCTGGACCCCCTCGCCCGCGGCATCTCTGTGCGCAGAATTGCGGGGACTTCTCAGGCGAAACCAGTACCTTCAAGCCTAGCGTAGCGACGATGTCTCGAGCGAAACGGACGAGACAACCTCAGATCACGGCATCCCCGATCCTAAGAGATTTGAGAATATATCTGGCGATATGGGCCAGACCACCTCTCGCGTAGCGTCTGGGAGCCCAGAATTGCGAGGAGGTCTCAAGCGAAACGGGCTAAACCATGTCAAGTCTGGTCGTCTTCGAGCGCAAACTTGCGAGAATGTCTCACGCGAAACGGGCCGCACCACCTCAGCATGTTGATAACGCCTTGACGCGTCGGCCCCTCAGGCGGCACTCGTCCTTCCTTATCGCAACAGCACCCCCAGGCACCAGCCAGGCGACCCGGGAACACCCCAAGACAAACCCTACTGAACGGAAACAAACGAAAGTTCCCAGATGTATGTGAGATATATATATATATATATACATATATACATATATATATATGTATGCATATACAGATAAAGATGCGTGCAGGTGCGTCCACGTCTGTGCTCGCTCAGCGCTTCCCGCCCGCGCCTTCGCCTCTCCTCGTGATACGCTGCGCGTTCGGAGCTTCCCGCCCCCGCTTTCGCCCGCCCTCCTGGCACGTGGTGCACTCGGTACATCCTGCCGCCGCCGTTGCCTCTCCCCCCAGTGCGTTCCCCCGTCCCTCACGTGCGCCTTGAAGGGGAGGGCGGTAGAGCAAGGAAGACGGCACCCTACAAACTAAATGTCGATTCTGCGACGGCAGATCTTGGAGAATCTCGAGGGCTAATCAAAAAAGGCTCCTCGCACACGCCTCGCCACTGTGGGCTGTACAGGCGAACAAGTCTGGACAGAGTCTCGGAGGCGACGTCCCTCCCAGAAAGGCGTTCCCGAGGTGCGCTCGCGAGCGCCTCCGCGAGGCGTGCCAGCGAGTACCCCCGTGGGCCAGATGCTGCCAGCACCGAGCGTGCGCGCGCGGGCCTCCCACAAGCGAGAACGCTCGAAACGAACCGGCGCAGGCCCCACGCGGTCGTCCCCGCGGCGCCAAGCCACTCCGGGGGCCCTCGGCAGGTGGCGCGAGCTGCCCCCCGGGGCGGCCCCCGGGCCGCGCCTCAGACGCTGAGATCCTTGCGGTGAGCCGCCCAGCTGTCGCGGATGCCCCGCACCTCCCGCAGCCTCTCAGCGTCCGCCGCGGCTGCCCGGGCGCGCCTGGCCGCCCCTTCGGCCACGCGAGCGGTCAGGCGCTCGCGGGCCTCCTCTGCCCTCTGCAGCGTTGCCCGCAGGTCTGCGTCGCTGGCAAACGGCTGGTCTCTATCTGCCAGCCTCGGCGCCGCCCCGGCCCCAGTCTCAGCCTCGGCCTCGGCCTCGGCCTCGGCCTGCAGCTTCTGACGGTGCGCTTCTCGCCGCAACTCGTGCTGCTTCTCGAGCCAAGCTGGGAGGTCCCTCGCCGAATGGACGGCGTGCACTGCCACTTCCTTCGCAACGGCGCCCCAGTCGACGTCGCGCACGGCCCCCTCTGTGGCGAGAGCGCGGCGCTCTGGGGAGCCCCCATGGACACGAGGGGCGTGGGCAGCGGCATCGGGGCTCTCCCCGGCCACGGCCTCCCTGGCAGAGGCTGTCGTGGCCGCTAGGCGCCCAGGGATCTCCGCGGCAGAGAGGACAGCGGTAGCCCCGGCGTGCCGGGCGGCGCTGTGGGCCTCTGCTGAGGCGGCCAAGCGCGCTGGGATCTCTGTAGCGGCGCGGACCGCGGTGGCCGCGGCCTGCTGGGCGGCGGCTCCATGAGCCTCTGCGTCGGCCACGAGGGTCTGCACCGCGGTGGCCGCGGCCTGCTGGGCGGCGGCGCCGTGCGCCACTGCCTCAGCCGCCAGGCGCCCAGGGAGGTCCGCGGCGACGTGGGCGGCTGTGGCCGCGGCCTCCACGGCGGCCGCGCCGCGCGGCGCGACCTCGGCGGCCAACCACCTCGGCAGATCCGCAGCCGCGCGCATCGCCTGCACCGCGGCGGCGCCGAAAGCCTCGGCCGCGGCGGCGCCCGCCGCCGTCGGCGTGAGCGGGGGGGTTACGACCTCGGCCTCCAGCACCTCCGCCTCAGCGGCTCTGCCGAGACCCCCGCGCCGAGGCAGCACGATCTCGGGCTCCAGCAACTCTGGCCCGGCCGGCAGCGCGTGCGACATCGCGAACTGGCCCCTCTCCACGCCAGGCGCGCACTCGGAGAGCAAGGCTCTCGGGCGCCAAGCGGGCGTCGGACCGTCGGGCGCCGCCGCCACCTGCACAGCGCGCGGGCCCGCCAGCACCGGCACCAGGCTGCGCCTGGGCGGAGCATCCTCCCCCGCCCTGTCCTCGCCGCCGCTGGCAGGTGCAGACCGGGGGGGGCCCTGCGCCGCCGCTTCCGCCGACCAGGCCCAGGCGTTGCTCTGCCGCGCCTCGTACTCGGCCCAGGCCATCGCCTCCTGCTCCGCCGGGAGGTCCTCTCCCCGGAGGCCGCGCCTGGCCTCTGCGGGGCTCGCCCCTCGCGCCGCGGGCGGCCAGGAACCTGAGAGCCTCAGGGCCTCCATCCTCTCGGGTGCGCTGGCGGAGGTCTGCTCGCCGCCACGGGCGCGGCACTGGGGCCGCCTCCGTGCCAGGGCGGCCACCACGCTCAGGGAGGCGGCCGCTGCCAGCGCTGCTGGAGCTCGCAGCGGCCCTCCAGCGAACGTGCCGCGCGGCAGTGCCCCTGCGGCCTCCACCGCCGGCTCCGCCCTGCGGGCGGAGACCTCTGGCGCGAAGACGCCGCGGGGTGCCTGGGCGGCCAGGAAGTGCCACCAGATGCCGCGACCAAGGCTGAGCCCGCAGACCAGACCGCAGGCCCACATGGCGCACTGCTTGAAGGGGGGCGCCATTGCAGCCTCCAGTCCGCTGGCCAGCAATGACCTGAAAGCGAAATGCTCGAGCCAAGCTGCTTGCGCAAGGGGAAGATGGGGGAAGGAGGAGGCAGGAAGCATGCCTCTTCCAGGGTCGGCGGAGGCGGCCACAAGGCCTTCGCCATGTTGGAGGCATTTGGGGCCGACTGAGGCGCTCTGAGCCGCGGAAAGGCAAGAACTCTAAAATCACTGAAAAAACCCAAGGGTTGTCAATGATGTCTGCCTCACGGGGGCCTTCCAAGGGCCCTGCGTAGGACCCCATGAACCCATCTAGGGTGCCTCTTGGCAGCGACTATAGACTGTCCCAGGCCGTCTTGGAGGCGTCAAAGCTGTCCTTGGGGTCCCTTTGTCGCTTACTCGTGCCATCTGCGGGATTCCTGGCCTCTCTGGGGCCCCCCGGGGCTGCTTTCAGAGGTCTGGGACCAAATCGAAGATTCGAGGTCTTTTGGACCCCGACTTCCTTCCCTGGTTAGATGTGTATGCGAGTGGCACGGGTGCGCCCAGGCGCATACAAAAACCAATGGGGGGTCACCGATGGGGTTGCCACAGCTTGCGATTTGCCAAAATGTTAAGAAGCGCCCCTATGGGCATAAGACAAGACAACGATTAGAGCAAAGTTGAGAACTACACAGGGAACCAACATACGAACATGATGTCTCAACAGCCATGTACTAAATCACTGAATTGCGTTGTGTAAGCGCTGAAACTCCACAAGAAACCATTGACCAACCAAGCATGTGCAACATGATTGAAATCAAGTTTGGATGGGACCCTGCCGTCGCGATTTGCGCGAGGGGTGCACCTGGCTTTCAAATGTGTGTGTGGATGTCCTGAGCGAGACGGCCAGAAGAAGTACGAACGCGGACGGCTTCACCAATGATCACCTGTAAGCTTTACTCCCTCGGAAAGGTGCGCATGATTACATACACATGTGTACACATATACACATGCAAATATACACATGTGTATAAAGATCTGATATATTGTATATCTGCTCCTCGGGTGAAAACCAGTTGGGGTGGATTGGCAGAATCTTCGATTTGCATTCGACTCACAAGACAACTCACGAATGGACACACATCGATACTTCAAGATGGATGTCCGTCTGTATATCAATCGACCTGTCAACATACATCCAAGACTTCCAAAATGCTTCCAAGAGGCATCCGAGCAGCATTCAACCATCCACCCAGCGTCATCATTCTCCTCATCCCTCCTTCGCTCGGTTCCTCGCCACCCCCTCATCTATCCATCTGGCCTCCTCTTCCGCCTCATCCTTTGCACGGATCGGCTGTCCCTCTCGTTGCTCCCCCACTTCCCTGATCTCTTCAACTTGCCTGGATTTTTCTGGATGGGCTGGTGGGGATACGGGAAGCGTCAAGAATTTGGATGTGATCTGAAGGAAACCTCACTAGAAACGGAGCAGATCCCATATCCAAAGGATTCCTATTGAGTTTGAATAGGACCCTAATCGGATTTCAATAGGAACGGAGCATCTCCTAAATCCAAAGGGTTTTCATTGGATTTGAATAGGATGCGAATTGGATTTCAACAGGAACGGGGCAGGTCCCAGATCCAAAGAATTCCAATTGAAGTTGATCAAGTTTGTGATCATATTACGATAGGAAAAGAGCAGATCCCAGATCCAGAGGGTCCCTATTGAATTTGGTTCGGGTTCTCATCAGATTGCAAAAGAAACGGAGCAGATCCCAGATCCAGAAGATTCCCAATGGATTTGAATCGGGGTCGATTCGGG